CCTCCATTCTCCTCTCAGGATCTTGGGCACACACACACACACACACACACACGCCTGGCGTGAGTTTTAAACCATCGGGTCTGGGTCGTGAACCACAGTCAACTACATGGGAATCCAGTGACATAGCCATTACACTAACTACGGGTCCCAAGGAGAATTTTTCATTGTTTTGTCATCTGGTGTCCAAATAAAATGAATATATCTGCCAATGCAAGTAATAAATTTGAATGTGAAAGTAGGGGTAAGGACGACATTGTTGGAACTTGGAAAATAGTACCCAAAACGAAATCCTCAGGAACTGTCTCAGAAGCAAAAATTTCTCTCTGACATTCTCCTGCCTTCCTATTTGTAGCCCTTCATTTTTTCCCAAGGCAGGTCTTAAACATTAGAATTCTCATTTTTTTATTGTTCTAACTTCCTCCATTGCATTTCTGTGTAAGAGTGGGCCATAAAGAAATTCTCTGACCTATCTTACCTGATATTAGATCATATCATCCTCATTTAGGAGGATCCTATCTCATACTCAGGAGGAAGGCAAGCTACACAAAAAGGCCAGGAAGATCTAAAGAGAAACATCTTCCTAGGCACAAAATAGCTAGGACTTGATTAGTAACAGGCAACTTACCTAAGTTTTGTCCCCACTTTCCCAATTTAGGGCCAAGAGAGAAAGTCAAATATACACACCCCTAACCAAGCACGTAGGATGTCCTGATGATGCTGGAATGAGAAAGGGGACCAAAAATTAGGCCCATGCAATCTCTGCCTGATGAAGAGATGAGAGTTGGTGAACAAAGAAAGGAATTTATTCAGTGAGGCCAACACTGGAGAGACAGAGTGGATTAGATCTATAACCGTCCCCATCGTCCCGGAAAAGATACAAAATTTACCCACATTGATGTACCTCAATCTGTGGTACTTCTACAAGAAAAGGACAACTCATTTATGGTATTGGGGCAGCATGATGACCTGGTCATTGTCTTCGTCAGCATCACAAGGAGACCTGAGCATCAGGGGGCAATCACTGCTTGAGGGACAGTTTCGTTCCAAGTACACAGAGTGGAATGACCAGTTTCAGTTCCCTACAGAGGGCTTAAAGATGAGCAATGATTAACAAGGCAACAGAAACAAAATGGAGTCATTCATGTTAACTCTTAGATCCTGTATACAGCAAAGAGCTAAGTGTGGCTTTACAATTTCTAAGCTGATAAAATTTTCTTCAGCCAATCATATGGGAGGGGAGGGGCGAAGTCTTTCTCCTCCATAGTCTAGTATCTGTGAGATTCACCAAGTTTATTATTAACTTCCATTAACCTCTAGGTCCAGGACTCAAACTGCAGTCAACCATGTGGGAGTCCAGTGACATAACCAGTACACCATCTGCTGGTCCCAGGCTTGACCTATTCTAAGGAAAGTAAAAGGCTAGGTTCCATAAGACTCTTTGTAAAGTGAAAGATAGAAGTTAAAGACTAATTTAAGATTTAATCTTACTCCAAGGCTAAGTACAATGTAGAGTCACTTTGATTCTTGGATGGCTCAGTTATATTGCTTCTAATTATTGCACCTGGGGTTTCCCCTCACTAATTGTCTCCAATCAGGACATACCTGAAGCCTTCCCTGCTCTCCACTTCCCCACCCCCACACCCTGCTTGTATAGCATTTCTACTCCCCCATCTCTGGCAAATGCAAGTGATGGTAATAACCTTCCTTCTATAGCAAACTGCATTGTCTTTGCTTCTCATTTGAGTGATTTTGTTCATTTTCACAAGATCTTTAAAAGAACAAGAAAGGGAGGACTACTGAGTAAGTACATTGTTACAAAAAAAGCTCAGAAAATATCAAGGAAATTTTATCATTAGACTGGCTCCAAAGGCTCAGCAGAGCCCCTCAAACACACATACTCATAACACCCACACGCCCTTGTGCACATCCACACAATATGCTCTTGTGCATACACACACACACACACACACAAACACATATTGTATTCTGGGGTTCCTTGTGAAACTCAAAGTGAGAAAGCAAAGGAACACTACAATAGAAAAAGTGAGAGCAGGCAAAGGGAGGTGACCAGTGATGGAAAGGGGAGGGAAGTGAAAGGAAAAAAAAAAAGAAAGAGTGGAAGAGATATCCAAAGCCAGTGCTATCCCTGACATCTCCAACTCTTATTCCCTATAACCCAGATGCCCGAGATAAGATAAGGTAACAGCCAAGATGACATTCCTCAACTCATCTATTTCCATCCAGAAATCACAAATGTGATTCTAAACATAGGACATAAGTTTTTTTGTTTGTTTGTTTTTTGTTTTTTATCTGCATACTTTGGGTTACTTAGGTACACTCTTGTTTTTAAATTTGCTATGGATACGGGGCCAGCAGGTGGCATGGTGATCAGGGCACTGGACTTCCACATGGCTGACCATATTTGAGTCCCAGACCCGGTGACTTGCTTTCTCACTTTCCCTCTCCCTCTTTCTCTCTGGTAAACACATGTGTCCTGTAGTAAATTGAAAAACAGTAACAAAATTAAATAATTCCTTTAAAAAATATTAAATAATAAATGTTGGTCTTTCAGGAGTTTTAAACAATGATCAAAGAATTCTTTTACAATTTAAGAAACAAACACAAAGTATAATTTTTAAAAGAGAGTAAAAGAGCCTTCCCGGGACCAGCAGTTAGCGTAATGGCTATGTCACTGGACTCCCACGTAGTTGACCAAGGTTCGAGTCCCGGACCCGGCGGCTTAAACTCACGCTGGGCGTGTGTGCGTGCGTGGCCAAGATCCCGAGAGGAGAATGGAGGAGAAGGGATTGCGGTGTGGCCATCCCCCCTGGGGGGCAATCTCTTCTCCTCCATTCTCCTCTCAGGATTTTGGGAGTGCAAGCAAGCACACACACACACACATACATGCCCAGTGTGTTTTTCAAGCCTCCAGTCCAGGACTCGAACCATTCAGTCAGCCATATGGAATCCAACCACATCAACCACCATGCCACCAGCTGGCCCACATTATTTCTTATCTCTCTTTTATTTTCTTCTTTTTTTTCTTTTTTCTTTTTTTTTTTCCTTTTTTATTGCTAGAAGGCACATGTAATCACCAGAGAGAGAAAGGAAGGGAGAAAGAGAAAGCACTCCTCAGTAAGGCACAGTCAAGCCACAATCCCTTTCTTCCATGTCTCTATCCCATCAAAATTTGGGGTAGGCATGCACCTGCATCCAGCATGTTTTTTCAAACTCCCAGGGCCAAGATTTCAACCATTACTGGCTATGTGGGATCCGTCTACCTATGTACAGTGCTTAACCACTGTGCTGCAGGACCAGACCAAGATTGCTTTACAGACTGATTATATGCTGAATGGAAGGAACCAAATTGAGGATAGGCTGAGATAAGAAACAGTACTTCTTCCCTCACCTCCTTCATTTCAAAACAATGCTCACCACATTGGGTCTCGCTCTAGGTTATGTGCATTCACTGAAGAGAGATGGGGTGGAAGGGGAGGTAGTGGGAATACACCTCTTCGGAAGATGGCCACACCACAATCTCTTCTCCTCCATTCTCCTCTCAGGATTTTGGGAGTGCAAGCAAGCACACACACACACACACACATGCCCAGTGTGTTTTTCAAGCCTCCAGTCCAGGACTCAAACCATTCAGTCAGCCATATGGAATCCAACCACATCAACCACCATGCCACCAGCTGGCCCACATTATTTCTTATCTCTCTTTTATTTTCTTCTTTTTTTTCTTTTTTCTTTTTTTTCCCTTTTTTTTTGCTAGAAGGCACATGTAATCACCAGAGAGAGAAAGGAAGGGAGAAAGAGAAAGCACTCCTCAGTAAGGCACAGTCAAGCCACAATCCCTTTCTTCCATGTCTCTATCCCATCAAAATTTGGGGTAGGCATGCACCTGCATCCAGCATGTTTTTTCAAACTCCCAGGGCCAAGATTTCAACCATTACTGGCTATGTGGGATCCGTCTACCTATGTACAGTGCTTAACCACTGTGCTGCAGGACCAGACCAAGATTGCTTTACAGACTGATTATATGCTGAATGGAAGGAACCAAATTGAGGATAGGCTGAGATAAGAAACAGTACTTCTTCCCTCACCTCCTTCATTTCAAAACAATGCTCACCACATTGGGTCTCCTCTGATTCTTTCACACTTAACGCCACTTCCTGAGTGAATTGAGAGATCCCAGGGGAGGGAAGCAGAATCAAAGATCTCCACCGTTAGGTCCCTTCCTTTGGGAACTCTTCTTCTTCTGTCCTTCTCATTGGCCTCAGACATTAGAAGAGTTTGGGGCAGATACACTTAGAAGTTGATTTTCAAACAATTATGTATGAGAAAGTAGCCTGAGTCTGAGGACAGTTGGAGGCATGGGAGGGGCAGGGATGTGGCTCCAGCAAAGCCATGGCTTGGCTTCAAGTCTCAGCCTCTCCTTCCTGAGCTTCTTCCCTTCTTAGCTTCTCTACACCTTCCACACATCTGCACACAAGTTCCTTGCCTCTCCTCTTTTTCTCTCATTTCTTTTTTAAAGAAATATTTATTTATTTTTATTTATTATTGTTATTGTTTTTAATTGCTATTGGGCATGCACGCTCACCAAAGAAAGACAGAGAGAGAGGAAGTGGGAAAGGAAATCACCAGGTCCAGGACTTGAACTGGGGTCAGCAATGTGGTAAACCAGTGCCTTTAACCACCATGCCACCTGCTGGCCCCTCATCTTCCTTCTTAAGAATCAAGAACCACTTAGAGCCCAGTGAAAATGAATATATAGTTTAAATCTTATTTCCAAATTTAGAATAAAATGTTTTATCTTCTATTAAAGAACTTTACTCAGTGAGAGTAGATATAAGTGAATTGATTTTGGGGGGGCAGACCACTTTCTGGCCCCTCAAAATCTCTCTGTGTAGCCTGTTGATAAGCCTGAGTGTGAAGGGATGGCGTGAAGAGAGGGCATCCAGTTGCAGGCAGGTGGGAAATAGGAGGATGGGGCACAGCGGGTTCTATAAGGTGTGAGTGCAACTGACCTACCTCAGTCCTCGGAGTCCGGGGTTTGTCCTGTGAAAGAAAAGCAGTGCAGAGAAGTCCATGGAATACAAGTTGCCTTTACATTTTAAAGGCCCCAGTAAAGCGTATATCAGACTTAGGTTACGCTCCACACCCATCAGGGCTATTGCCTAAAACACATGTTTTATTTTACAGTAAACAAACTGTGATGCTACGAAGGATTACAGATTTCACCATGTGACCCCCCCCTTTCTTCATCCCAGTGTTCTTGAGTTCATGATGTAAAGAATATAGTATAGCCAATCAATTGCTTGCTTTATTTCAAATGTAAACAATGGACAAACAACTTGTAACCTCCCCTTCTCTTGCCCTTTGTTTTTGTTCTATACATCAGCTTTCTTGGTTGCCATGTTGATAAGAACATATCTGGAAAACCAAGGTTTTCTCCTCCAGGTGATTTGTCTTCAGTCCTAGCTCAAATCAACTATTTTTATTTCACTTATGCTCAGTTTTCATTTTGGTTAACAGTCAGTCCTTCTAAGAAAGTGACTGAGATGAATATAGATGCAAAAATTCTCAACAAGATACTCGCAAATCGTATCCAACAACATATAACAGAGATCATTCATTACGACCAGGAAGGCTTTATACCAGGGATGCAAGGGTGGTTCAATATACGCAAGACCATAAATGTAATACACCACATTAACAGAAAGAAAGATAAAAACCATATGATCATCTCAATTGATGCGGAGAAAGCGTTTGATAAAATACAACATCCTTTTATGATTAAGACCCTCGGTAAGATTGGTATAGAAGGGTCATTTCTGAACACAATAAAAGCAATCTATGAAAAACCTACAGCTAACATTATACTGAATGGGGAAAAGCTGAAAGCTTTTCCTCTGAAAACAGGTACTAGGCAAGGCTGCCCACTTTCTCCACTGCTCTTTAATATAGTACTGGAAGTCTTAGCTATTGCAATCAGAGAAGAGAACAATATTAAAGGCATTCGAATAGGCAAAGAAGAGTTGAAAATATCTTTATTTGCAGATGACATGATGGTATACTTAGAAGACTCAAAGGTATCCATGAAAAAACTTCTTGAAGTAATAAGTGAATACAGTAAGGTGGCAGGATACAAAATCAATATCCAAAAATCTATAGCATTTCTATTTATGAACAACAAGTTGAACGAAGCAGAGCTGAAGAAAGGAATCCCTTTCACCATAGCCACAAGATGTATAAGATATCTAGGGATAAACCTAACTAAGAAAGTCAAAGACCTTTATAAAGAAAACTACGAGAATCTTAAAAAAGACATTGAAAGTGACATAAAAAAGTGGAAGGACATCCCATGCTCCTGGATTGGTAGAATTAACATAATCAAAATGGCAATTCTACCCAAATTAATCTACATGTTTAATGCAATTCCAATCAAAATACCAGAGATATTCTTCAGAGATCTAGAAAAGACAATTATAGAATTTGTCTGGAACCATAAAAGACCTCGTATTGCAAAAGCAATCCTGCGTAAGAAGAATGGAGTAGGAGGCATATCACTCCCTGATCCCAAGATATACTATAAAGCTGTGGTCATCAAAACAGCATGGTATTGGCATAAAAACAGACATGTGGACCAATGGAAGAGAATAGAGACCCCAGAAATAACTCCCAAAGCTTATAGCCAACTGATCTTTGACAAAGGATATCAGTCAATCCATTGGGAAAAGGAAAACCTCTTTAGTAAATGGTGCTGGAAAAACTGGGTATCCACCTGCAGAAAGATGAAACTGAACCCCCATCTTTCACCATTAACAACAGTCAACTCAAAATGGATCAAAGATCTGAACCTAAGACCTCAGACAATAAAACTACTTGTGGAAAATGCTGGGGAAACTCTGGGAGACATTGGAGTAGGCAAAGACTTCTTAAATAAGACTCCCAAAGCACAGGCAATAATCCCTAAAATAGACAAGTGGGACTATATTAGACTAAGAAGTTTCTGCACAGCAAAGGACACAGTAACAAGTGTGAACCGACAACCCTCAGAATGGGAAAATATTTTTGTTAAATATGCCTCAGACAAGGGACTGATAACGAGAATACATAGGGAACTCAAGTGCCTTATGCGAAAAAAAATGATTAACCCGATTAAAAGATGGGAAAGTGAGCTGAACAAAAGTCTCTCTAAGGAAGACATACGAACAGCCAAAAAGCATATGAGGAAATGCTCGACATCCCTCATCATAAGGGAAATGCAGATAAAAACCACAATGAGATACCACCTAACCCCTGTCAGAATGGCAAAGATTAAGAATATAAAAAGTGATAAGTGTTGGCGGGGATGTGGTGAAAAGGGAACCCTCCTACACTGTTGGTGGGAATGTAAACTAGTTCAACCACTGTGGAGAACAATATGGAGGTTCCTCAAAGATCTACAAATAGAACTACCATTTGATCCAGCAATCCCACTTCTGGGTATTTACCCAAAAGACAGGAGAACGCTCAGTCAGAAAAGTGCTTGCACATCCATGTTTATTGCAGCATTATTCACAATTGCCAAGACATGGAACCAACCTAAATGTCCACAAACTGATGAATGGATTGGAAAAGTGTGGTATATATACTCTATGGAATACTACTCAGCCATAAAAAATAACAAGACCCTGGAATTTGATAGAAAATGGTCAGATATGGAGGATCTATTGCTGAGTGAAGTAAGCCAGGCTATGAAAGAAAGATATTGTATGTATCCACTCAATATATACCGACTATCCGCACTCTATAATAGAGAGCAAAAATTCGGAGGACATAAACACAGTGAAGGTACTTAATGAGAATAGGACAGTGTGGAATGGGGTAAGTGAAGAGAAGAGGATAGAGAAAGATAGCAAGTGAACAATAGAGAGACAGGACGTTAGTGAGAAACAGATAGGGGTTATTAACTGTTGATGATGACATGTATAGTATTCTCAACTGGATTGGTCTGAGAAGTATTTCATGATGGGCAAAGTATTTTTACAAGCAAAACGAGAAATAACAATTGACTGTTTTATAAAAATAATTAGAATAATAAAAATAATGATTGGGGAAAACAGAAAAGATATTGAATGTTGAAGTGGGGAGATTAATGTCTCTGTACTGACTGACATGCATGGCATTCCCTTTTGAAAAAACAATGTAATACAATGTAAAGTTATATGTAATCCAATGTAATATAAAGAAGATTATGATGATAAAAA